TGGCACCCCACAAGTTAGGGGCCTTGGGGTCGACCTCTGTCCCCCTGCCAATACAGACTGCGTACGGTCGGTGAGGAAGGAGGAGAACCACCGCATAACAGTGCCTCCCACTCCCAACTCCCCCAGACGCCGCAGCATGATACCGTGGTCCACGGTATCAAAAGCCGCTGAGAGGTCCAAAAGAACTAGGACAGAGGAAAAACCCCTGTCCCGGGCCCTCCAGAGATCATTCACCAGCGTGACCAACGCCGTTTCCATGCTGTATCCCAGCCTGAAGCCCGACTGGAGCGGGTCCAGATAGACTGTTTCCTCCAGGTGCCGAGGGAATTGCTGCGCAACCACACTCTCAACAACCTTCGCCACAAAGCGAAGGTTGGAGACCGGGCGATAGTTAGCCAATACATCTGGGTCCAGGGAAGGCTTCTTAAGGAGGGGCCTCACCACCGCCTCCTTTAATTAGTATTAGTATACAATTTGATTTTTAAACAGTGAATTGACCATGGAGCATTCAGAAGCATATTGCCTAATCATACTTTCCCACTAATGCAAGGCCATCTAGAAGGCTGAAAACTGAAATATATCTATAATCAGCCCAAACTTTATTTATTCCATCAATTTATATAGCTGTCCCTCTCTGTGAGTCTGGGTATTGGACAATGATAAAAGTAAAACAAATACATATGCAAATTAAAATACACCGCAGTCAGGAAAGCCAATAATCAACCACATAGCCAAGAGACAGGTCCCTTCACATACTTATATTCACAGGTCTGAGCCAGGTTTTTAGGGTCTTATGAAAGGTAAGCAAGATTGGGGCCAACCTAATCTCCAGTGAAAGAATGTGCCAAAAGATGGGTGCAATGGCAGCAAACGCTCATCTTCTAAATCATGTGAACCTGCATTTCTTAGCCTTAGCAGGACCCATGGCATGCCATCCTGCTCGACAGATAGGACATGTAGAAACAACTGGAAAAGATGGTCCTTTAAGTAACTGGCCCCAAGCTTTAGACTGAGGTAAGAACACTCAGCAGCACACTGGCAACCAACACAGCTCACAAAGTAAAGGTGTTAAATGCATCAATTAATCTGTGCCGTTAACTGCATTATGTACCAAGTGAAACTTCTGAATGTTCTTCAAGGGCTCACTGTAGTAGTCCTGATGGGAAGCCATAATGGCATGACTAACCCATGAGTAGGCCTCCTCTTCAAGCAGGAACCGTGAGTTCAGGAGGATCTCCAGATTGTATATTCCATCCAGAACCAAATATGAAAAATATGAAAGATTCCCAGCACCAGGAGGACCGAACACCCAAAACTTCTCAGTCTTGCTTGAGTTGAGCCAAAGCCTATTCCATCCCATCCAGGCCTCCACAGCCTCTGGGCACTGGAACAGGATGTCCATGACATCATTCAAAAAGGCTTGGGAGAGCTATAAAGCTGAGAATCATCGGCATACTGGTGATATAACCCCAAACCTTTGCATGAACTCACTGAGAATTTAACATGTAGATGTTAAACAGGAAGAGAAAACTGAGCTCTGCAATACCCCACATTGTAGAGGGTGTGGACTAGATCTACCCCCCCCCCCCCCCCCGGCACGGCAACAACTATTGGAACCAGATCCAGAGGAAAGAGATGTTGCACACTACAAAGCCACCTTAGTATCTCCCTCAGATCTAAATCCCAACCGAAAGAGATCCAGATAATCCATTTTTTTTTCTAGAGTCCTCTGAAGCTGCATTATGATGGTCTTCTCTAGAATCTTCTCTAAATAGGGAAGATTGGACAATGGATGGAAATTACACAGTTGGGTCAGGTGATGGCCACTTGAGGAGGCAGTCACCATGACCTTTTAAAAAGCTGGTGGGACTAACCCCTCCCTCAAGGAGGAATTGACCAACCTCCCAAACCCCTATCACAAATCCTCCCCCAAGTGCCTTACCCAACTGTATCATGGGTACGCAAAGATCTTTTTTGCTATTGTCCAGGCATGGTTATTCAGAGCTTTTCATATATGGACAATTTTTATTTTTATTTTTAAAAAATACAATTTAATATCACTTTGCATTGTAAACATTTGACTTTGTTCCATGAGCCTGACTAGAAATCATTTGCTTAGAAAGGGCCTTTGTCATGAAAGCTAAAAAGCTATTTCTGTTTAGGAAATGAAAGCCTGTTGTTCATTAAGATTCTCATGATCCTGCAACTAATTCTAACATTTAACAAACCTCCGTTGACTAAAGAAGCTTGTTTTAGTTACTTTGCCATTAAGATGTAATTTTAGCCAGATGTTAAAGCCCATCACGCCTTTAATCCATTCATAAGCACATGAACTCTCCTGGTTTTCAGAGGGAGGCCAGATAAACTTTTTAAGTGCTTTGTTGGAACCCGCCCCATGAAAGTTGACAACAAACATCTTTCCCCTTACCCTTTTCAGCCCAGCTTCATCAGAAGAGAAAGCAAGAAAGCACCAGTGGCTTGAAACCAAGTTTTGCTACCCAACTGATGTGGCAAGGGAACTTCGAGTATTACATCAATAAGACATCTCAACTCTTGATTTAATACTGGCAGTAGAGAAATTCCCATAGACATTAGACATGTATACATACTTCAGGTTGGATGTCAGTTTACTCTGACTCATGTCAGTAGAAATTACAGTCAAGCTGATTCAAAACCATTCATGGAGCCTGCTCCCCTTAGTCATTTATCATCATTTATACTCATGTTTTAATTATGTATATTTTAACTACAGTATGCATATTTAATTATGCTCCATATCTCTTAGTTGTCTTTTTGGATGAAAACGTAGGTATGAATCAACTCAGCCAGTAAATATTTAAAATGTCCACAATAAT